GTGCAGGCCATGTATTTGATAAGCTATTGTTTCCCTCTGTTGTAGATTGAGAACTACTGCACTATCCAGTCACTCATTAATTCTTTCACTCCTCACCGAATACTGCCCCAACTCTCAGAGAACCAAGTGGGTAAAGAGGAACAAGGCTCTTAGATCTGCACAGCTGGCTTTACCACCCAGGCCCTCAGCCGCTACCACCCATCCATAGCCCTACAGTGACCACGTTTCCAAACCAGTACATGGTCAGAAGAATTAATGAATGGAAAACCATTGGTTAAGCACTTTCTCTGTGTAAAGCAGTGTACTAAGCCCTGGGGATACAAATAGCTAGACAGCCCCTGCCCTCAAGGAACTCCCATTCTAGTAGGAGAGACAACATATATAGGAAGCTACAGCTGCCGGTCAGATAGTAATGCATCATCAGAGAGAAAGAGAGAGAGTGTGTGTGTGTTGTATAAAAGGACAGTCCTTTTGCAAAGGCCAATTAAAATGATGTATGTCTTGAAATCAGAACTATCCTAGAAAAAAAGGAATTTGTTATAGTCACCATACCACATTCCCTTTCCTCAGCTCCCTCCCTGCATTCAATCTTTTCTATCTGTGGTCTTGACTTAAAAAGAGGAGTGTGAAGAATTGAGGGTGGGATAAGTTTGGACCCTCCTGACCTATAGCCTGCTGCTGCTCACCCCCATTCCCTCATTTTCTTTGATGGAGACTATGCTGAATGTCACTGTGCTTTTGTCTCTTGGGACAATAAGATCTCCGATGTATTTTCCCATAACTCTAGTCTATAATGATTTTCAGCACAGCCAGTATCTAATAAGCACATCCCATAGAAAGGAATAGATCTTTTTCAGTCACACTAACATTAAAAGCTCTGTAGTATTTTTCTGCTCCTCCAAATTGGACAGATAATATTATACATGCCTTGCATATCATTTTCTCATCATGTCTACTCTTTCCCAAGAGAAAGCAGCTATTTAAGAATGATGCAGGGTTTTTTTTTTTTTAATGAAGTAATGACTTTGAGTCCTTTAGATGATCTTACATTCATCCTTTTCTTAACCTACAAGTTATGGGTCTTAAGTCCTCTGGTGTTTATATTTACTTGTCTTCTACGCCTGGGGCCATTTAGAAATGATGCTCTCATCTGAGCCAGGCTCTGTGGAGTAAACTAAAGAAGACTTTGCATATTCATGAACTAGGCCTAAAGGAAATAAAAAAAATTGAAAATTTGAGGACCCTGGACACCTGCTTTTTTTAAGGGACTGACATAAAGAAATTATGTCTTTGTCAGTTGGCTTTCTCCAGAGGCAGCTGTTGAGGAAGACTGGTGTTTTCACAAATGCAGCTAGGACTGTTAAGGCAAGAAACATGAAGATTTTTCTCCTCCTGCTAAAAATGTGTGATTATTCATTGTTCTGTCATTTCAGCCATGTCCAACTGTTCATGACCAATCTGGGGTTTTCTTGGCAAAGTTACTGGAGCAGTTTGCTATTTTCTTCTCCAGTTCATTTGACAGATGAGCAAACTGAGGCAAACAGAGTAAAGTGACTTGCCCAGGGTCACATGGCTAGGAAGTGTCTGAAGCTGTATGTAAACTCAGGTCTTCCCGACTGCAGGCCCAGTATTCTATCCACTGTATCACCTAGCTGCCCCAAAATGTGTGATAGATTCTCCTAATAATATTATCTCCCTATACAAATAGTATCAGATTGCTTACTGGACCATAAACTTCTTGAGAGTGAGGGCCTTTTCGCCTCGCCTTGGTAGCCTGGATTTGGTCTGACAGTGCCTTCCCTCATGGAATACGCTCAATAAATAATGGTTGAGTTAGGCTTGGTCTACCTAAAAAGTTAAATAGAGGAGACTTTTAAAAAAAAAATTGGCCCTGAGGAAACTCAGGGCTGAGTGTTCTCTAATTGGAAAAGCAATTTCTACTATGTGCATCAGAAAGGATATTATTGACCCGCCATTCAAAATTCAACCAACATTTTATTAGACACCCACCATCTGCAAAGTACTGGAGAGAAAACAGTTGGAGAGGGAAGGGTTGGGGGTGCAGGAGATCAATTGGATGAGTTCTTGGAAGTGTTCATGGAAATGGTGATTGACTGTTGAGGTTAGGCATTCTCTAACCTGATCCCTCCTGTAGCCAAAAGCAAGCATTGGTGGGGTGACAGGTCTGGGTTAGGCAGCCAATATACTCCATTTTTTCCCCTCATGAAAATGAAGTCCTGGCACCTTTTTTTGAAAAAGAGTATTAGTGGAGCCCAACGTTGTATTGGCAGAGAAGTCTGCTACTAAAAAAAAAAAATAAATTCTAACATATATATTGGATTCATTTAAAGTATAGTGCATTTTATTATCACAAAATGTCAAAAGCCAGAAACTTAGGCCTCAAATTGACCTTTGGCCTGAGGATTAGTAGCAAGAGGAGGCAGCTAGATAGAGAGCTATGGGCTGGAGTCCATTGGACCTGAGTTCAAATGTGGCCTCAGATACTTACTAGCTGCATAAATCTGGGCAAGTCACTTAATCTCTGTCTGCCTCAGTTTCTTCAACTATAAAATGGGGATAATAATTATACCTAACTCTCAAGGTTATTGTAAGGATCAAATGAGATCAAATATGTACAGCACTTAATGCAGGACCTGGCACATAGTAGGTGCCTAATAAATGCGTCTTTCCTTCCTTTCTGTCTGCTCCAGACAGTTGATTCAAGCTTTCAGTTGGTATCTTGAATGAGTTTGTGTCCAACGTCCCTTTGTAGAAATAAAGAGGGATTTGATTTACTGGAATCCCAAGTGCCCAAAGCTATTACTCTGCTGGTGATGAAGTTCGATTTTGTTTTCAAAATTATTTTCATTTTACAAAGCAAAATAGTTGTTGTCTTGGTGGAAATGTGAATTTCGTTTCCTGTCTGTGGTGTGCTGTCTTCATCCTGTCACTCAGACGTTTTGTTTTGAGTTGTTCCCGTAATGTAAGTGAAACACAGTGACCCACACAACAGGATGACGTGTGCACCCCGCAGATGTAACAAGAGACACATTTTGTGCAACAGACCACAAAAGCTCAAGGCTTTATTTAAAAATGAAAACAAAACAAACCAAGACTTCCCTACAAGCTTGCTTGCCAACTCAGGGAGTGGCATTGTCTGTGAATTTGGAGATGGGCTTTAATTTCTCCATGTGGGTATTATCTCACAGACTTATTTTCACTCTTAGCCCTGTTTGATGAAAAGGTGAAACTCAGCCAACAAGGCTCATCTCATAATAACCATGTGGGAAAGGCAGCATAAGATCAGAACACTTGGACAGACGCCTTGGTCTCTCTGCCTCACAGTCTCCTAGTACCGAAAGGAAGGTTCATGACGCCCCCTCCCAGGGTTGTTATGAGGAAGGCACTTTGTAAATGTTCACACTAAAGAGGAGCTGCTGCCTCAACTCAGATGTTCATTTCCCTTTTACTTGCTTTCCTGAGCTGGTTCATCAGAGAGTCATGTTTTCTGGCCCCTTCATCTGGGGATAAACGAGTATGTGGATGCTCCCCTGGAACCCAGGTTTTCAGTCTCACGGAAGACTGAGATGATGGGGCCTTTTTGCATTGCCTTTTTAAAAGTTTTTGCTAGCTTTTTCTTAATACCACTTTTATTTCTAAATATAGCTCTTCTCCCTTTTTCCCCCAAGAAAACCATCCTTTATAACCAAGAATTTAAGAGTGAAAAAACATGAGCAGCTTAACAAAACAAAAGTCCCTCCCATCTCTCTACATCATTTTTTTTTCATGTTTTGAAAGCCCAAGACTTCTTATACTGGTGAGCAAGTGTTTGCAGGTCATGGCCTGCCTAGAAATGCCTATTGTGAATAGTGCGCTGGCCGGGGGATCAGGGAGACCCTGAGCTTGTCTCCCCCTGCCACAAACTCACTTTGTGATCTGGGCCCGGTCACTCCACTTCTATAGACTATACATATATATATATATATATATATACACACACACACACACACACACATATATATATATATAGTCTATATAACTATATATACATATATAAAACTATATATATAACTATCTATATCTATATCTATAGATAGTTTAGTCATCTGCAGAGAACAGAGGCATTGGACTCTCAGAGATCAGCAAACTATGATGGGTCCTTCCACGTGATTTTGTAAGGCCTTCGAGCTAATTTTTTGTGTTTAAAAATTCAAAAGTCATTCTTAGCGGGTAGTGGGCCCACCAGGTAGTTTGCTGACTCTCGAACTGGATGATCTCATAGACCCCTTCCAAAGCTAAAATATTACGCCTCTATAAATTGAAGTTCGCCACTAGGACTACAGAATTCTCAGAGGTGCTCTTTAGAACCCTGTCCAAAGTCGACTTTTCAAAATCTGTGCTTTAATTGTAGCTCATAAAATAGCTAAAGCAGTATGTACGCTACACGGCATCAGCCGTGTGAGAGACAGCCCACAGCCCCTTCTAGTGAAGTCTGAAGGCTTGGTGTGTATATAATTATGATGGATTTTTCCATCATACCGACTTCATATTCACTACTAAGTACACCTTGAGTAGATGGCATTTGTGTAGTGTTATGTTTGAATTAAACACTTATCTCGAAAGTGAGACTGCATGAAGAAGGCTCATCTTTTTAAAGAGTCCTGGCCTTGGAGTTAGAAGATTCAGATCCAAGTCCTACCTTCAAAACTTAAAGCTGTGTGACCAAGTCACTTCACGTCTCAAAGCCTCAGTCTCCCCATCTACAAAATGGTGATGATAATAATGATACCGCATCACCGGATTGTGAGAAAAGCACATCGTAAACCTTAAAGCACTCTGTAGATGAGAGCTTGCATTACTGTTACTCTGTTGCTTGGTGCTGGGTCTGGGTCACCACTGTAGAAAGTATGTCTCTAAAGCAAGTCTTGTTTTCTATTCATTGATTTCTTACATCTAAATCTGCATTAATCCAGTTTCTCCCTTTTGGTTTTTCCCTGCAGCATCAGCGAAAGTTTCCTCACTGTGAAAGGTGCAGCCCTCTTCCTACCACGAGGAAATGGGTCATCCACACCAAGAATCAGTCACAGGCGCAACAAGCACGCAGGTAAAGCAGCCCACTGTCCCCCTTGATCACCTTGCCCCTTTCCGGTTTCTCAAGTTGTCCTGCAGTAATGGCAGGAAATGTGGGAAGCCATCTCATGGGATGGAGCTTCTCCTTTGGAATCACAGGATCTGAGAGATGGAAGGAACTCCATTTCATTCTTGCCCTGGATAATTGACAGAATTGTCCTTATTGAGCTGAAATTGCCTTCCTGCCCCTATGGGACCAAGCCAAAGAAGTCTCAGGGGGTGTGTTCCCTTAAGAATCTGGGAAAACCAAAGGCTTTTGAAACTCTGGACTTGAGCATATAATTTTCACCTCCTAACTAACCAAAAAAAGAGCCCTTAAATTATTTCTGTCTAGGGTGAGTGAGTGCAAACTACTCCAGCCCACTAGATCTAGCTAGTACTAGACCTTACTAGCCACATCCCAGCCAGAATCCACCAGGAAACCAGGAGTTCCTTGCCCTGTGGCACCCCTGCTCCCCATCAGGTACAACCACACTCTGGATCTGACCTTGAGAGACTGCATACGGCCCCAGCCACCAGTCAATGCAGTCAACAGTGGGCCTGAGTTTTCCTGGCTGGTGGAGAAATAAGTGACAGCTTACTGACCCTCTGTGTAGGTGTCCCCTTTGTACCCCATCCAGCATCCACCGGAAAAGTAGGCCCTGCTGTCTGCTCTCCCTCCAGTTATTCCCCTTTGGGGGTCCTCTGAGCTCTTGTTCTGGAGCTGCTGTTGGAACTGGCAGAGGTCAGACAGCCCCACCTAATGTCTGTGATGTCCACACCAAACTCCTTGGCCTGGTCACCTCTTAACTGCCCAAAGGTGATTTGCCACCGTGTTAGAATATAATCTCCTGGAGGGCAGGAGCTGCCTCACTTGGCTATTTGTTTTCCCAGCACCAAGTACAGTGCCTGGCACATAATAGGTACTTAATAAATAAATGGTATTTCTTTCATCCATGTTTTCTAATGTTGGTACAGAGAAAATAAGATAAATAAAAAAACAAGCACACTTAGGTTCCCATGACATCAAGGCTTGTTCTAATACAGATTAAAATACAGATAAATCTAATACAGATTAAAAGTTCTTTAAGATAATTCCATTAAACCTCTCCCTGTAATCCTAAATACACACATTCCAAAAACGGATTCATTCCACAAACATGATGTGCCTGCAAGGTAGAAAGGAACGTACAAACTAAGTAAGCCATGTCTGCCTGCCCTCACAGAGCTTACAAGAGACAGGACATGTAAGAGTCTGTAGCTAAATGCAAAGAAACTGAATAATTAGCTGAAAGATAATTTATAAGGAACTCTCATTTGTCCAAACTTGAATTCTGAGAGTGAACATGGTAGAAGGAGGATCAGAAGATATAGATTTGAACCCTGGCTCTAATTACTTACCAAATGTAAGCTATTCACTTGTATTCTGAGCTAGTCCATTAAATGGAGATAATATCCTGCTGTCTATTTTGCAAGGTTTGTTAGGAGGAAAGTAGTATATAACTTAGAGTCACAGGACCTGAATTCGAATCCTGATTCTGTCAGTTATTACTTGTCTGACCAAAGGGCAAGTCACTTAACTTTTCTGAACCTGTTTCCTCATCAGTAAAGTGAGATTAGACTGGGTGCTCTCTGAGGTCCCTTTCATTGCTCTAGTATTCTGTGAGGTATGAGCTTTTTTTTTTTTCCATATATTGGGTTTCCTTAAAGTAAGGTACATCTGAAGCCATGTAACAAAGACCAGTTCATATGAAGTGAGAAACTTTTTATATGAATTCAGGGAAAATTTAGAGAAAAGAAGGGTGTTGGGGGTGGGGCATGTCAGGAAACCAGTCTGCCTGCCATGCCCACTTTTTAAAGATCTTTTGGAAAACATCAGCTTGAGAACAGTGTTTGGACGTGATGGCCCCAGCTAGTCTGCTGGAAAGGAGCTGTTACTCATTGTGACAATTGTAGTCATTTATGCACTTGTGGCCTTCAGGGGTAGACGAGGTTGTGAGTTTTGGGAAGGGAGCAATCCACACTACAGACCTCGAATAGGTCAGAGGTCAAACACCGAAATACTGGATCCCGTTGAAGCTGTAACTGACTCTGATCTCGGGCATCTTAGGGGCAGTGGTGCCACTCTCCGGTGATGCCGTGTGGAGTTCTAATCAATCATGTTGGTGATGACGTTGTCCTTACACAGCAAATCTCAAGCCAGGGAAGCATTTTAACACAGTGAGGAATATCCTTCTGCCCTCGGATTTTAAAAACCCCAAGACTTTTCTTTGCTGCCCCTTGCTTCCCCAAAGGCCTTTCAGCCAGGGAGGAACTAGCCCTAGCGAGGCTCTGTGCGTATGTCAGGGTGATGTTGGGTATTCATCTTATACAGTACAAGGAAAAAATAGACAAAGTATTGCTTTCAGTCCAGCCCGTCTGAATGAGTTGTTCAGAGAATCTGTCTCTTTGGCATGTAACTGGGAGTGGGGTCAGCAGCTTTTAAAACTCCTGGCCCTAGCTGGCCTTTTTTTCTTTTGCCTAAACTTCCTCAAACAACTTTGTCCAGGTTTCCACTTGACTTTGAGTGATTCAGCTTTTTCCTTTACTAAATAAGAAAGCAGGGACTGGGGGAAGGAAGAGAGTGGGGAGAAAAGGAGGGAGAGATTTTGTACCAGTTGAATAACCTTGATTTATGATCTGGACCAGAACAGATCAGGCCCTGTCAGTATAAATACCAGCTCCCAGTGACTGACATGTTCTGGAGCCAGCCTGGCCCACTTCATGATTCACAAACAACCCTTGTACCATCAAGATACCCACGGACGCCTAATAACGTGGGGAAGGGCCTGTGCTGCTTGTGCCGCCTCCGTGTAGTCAGAGGAGGAAATGTGTCGAACCCATTTCTGTCTACATATGAATATTCAAATACTTCATCAAATTCATGATCAAAAAGGATTGTGCCTATTGACATTGGGAAGGGAAGGCAGACATGGTCAGGGTTGTCAAAATTGCTGGTCTCTTGAAATTTACCTACTGGCGGCAGCAAATGGAATTTTAAAAGAGTGAGAAGGGCATCCCAACTGCCCCCAGAGTCACATCCTTTCTGGTCTGCCCCCTCCGTCTCTGGCAGTGCAGGAAGGGAGGTAAATTCACAGAACATGGGCAGCTCCTTTCCAGCGGGTGCATTTCCTTGTGCCCATTACTCTCAGAAGCCTTATTACTCCAGGGACTGGAGCTCCTTGTCTGCCTCCCTTCCATCCTTCATGTGATTTGACTGTACCATTGTGCCAAAGGATGATAGAAATACATGATAAAGCATTTATTAAACACCTACTGTGTACCAGGTGCTTTTCAAGGCACTCTTCAAAAGTGATTCCCTTCCTGGTAGTCCCTGTCCACGCTGGCTAACGATGGAGCAGCTGCAGAGGCTTCCCCTAACAGGATACAGTATGGAACGCAGCAGGAATTGTTGACCTTTCACCAAGTAATGCTTGACCTCCCCAGCCCAGTTTCCGCTGAGGAGACTTGAGGTTTATGGTGAGATCAGATGGAGCTGGGCCACTCTGCTCAGTCTTTCCGTGCTGCTTTGGAAACGTCAGTTCCCAGACTAGTTGATATTTCGTGAAGTTTTGCCGGAATCCTTTGTTGTGTTTTGTTTTGAATTCTTTGTTATAAGAGATGCCTTGATGAAGGGATATGTTCATAAAGGAAGGGAATAGAAAAACGAGATTTTAAAAAAATTTTCAGAAGAAAATTAAAAGACTGTATATTGGAGAGAGGGCTAGTGGCCATCACTGAAATGAAGGCAAGTAGAATAAAATACTTACAGGTAATCTCCTTTCCCCTCCTCACCTCAAAAAAGCTTCTGACTAAATGACCCTCAAGAATCACCCGGAAAGAGAAGTAGGTTTGGCAGTATGCTTTCTAGTCTGTCCTTTTCTCACCTCCCTCCCTTCCTTCCTTCTTCCCTTATTGTCAACAACTGTGAGGGCAGCAGACACAATATGGTTTGTAGAGACAGTAGGAGCTTCATTTGAGCTACACAACTCTTCAAAAAATGGTGTCTTTTCAACCAGAAGAAGTGGGTTGGGCAGAGTCAAACTGTTCTGCCCTCTGCTTTGCTTTCTCTCTGAAAGTACTTATCTCCAGGCACGGTTTTCCTCAACGCCACCCACATGTTCTCTCCCTGCCCCCAGTCACAGCACTGTGTCTCCTTTGCACTATTGTCAGTAGAAAGATTGGGGCTTCCTCCTATTTGAATACCCTCACTAATGTGGGGGGGGGGGGGAGATTGAAAATTCTGATATTCTAGGCAGTATTCTTAGAAGGAAGGCATCTAAAATATTTCTGATTTTTGTGAATTGAAATATCTTAAATAGTTAGCTTCAGACCAGGATCAACCAGGGAATTGTTATGTCTGACATTTGTCCTACATTCAAAAGAACTGTGGTCCCCTAAAGTTTCCCTTGGTGTGAGATGGATATCCAATATTAATCTGTGTACCAGGAGGTTTCGTGGCCCTGTTTACTCTGCTAAAATACACGACCAGGGTCTTTTACTGGTTGCTTTCCATACAGAAAGAAATTAATCTAGTAAAATGATAAATCTCAAAATGTAAGGAAACAATCCATTTTCCAATCATCTTGAATAGGTGGGAAATCACTTACCACCATTAAAACACCAGCTTAATTGATGCCGTATCTTGGAGTCATTCTGTGAACCACAGCTTCACTTTTCCAAAAGTCCTAAGAGAACTTTAGAGCCAGCCTCAACCTTTCTTTTGTGAACTTCTCCAGGTGATCTTCAGCAGCACCTGCAGGCCATGTTCATATTACTACGCCCTGAAGACAACATTAGGCTGGTAAGTGTTTTTGACTAATGAGCCTTAGAGGCAAAGCTCTGTTTTCCAAAGGAATGCCATGCCATGCCATGCAAGAGACTGGGGCTCGTTCAGTAGGTACTTATTCAGCACTCTGGTTCTGTCTGACACTGTAGCACCAGGCCTTTAGGGGAAACTAAGAGAATGATGGTCTTTCTCAGCAGACTCAGGTAATTATTGGAGATGAGACTAACACCTGTGAAACAAAGGCTACAAGGCAGTATCTGGTTGGTTGGTTGGTTGGTTGGTTGATTGGCTGTTGTCCTTCGTTCTCGAAGAGAAACAAAATGACATCATTATGTTACAGTCAAGTCACAATGTGTCTGGGGCTGATCAGACCAAGACAAGCTCAGAATGCTTTACCACAGGTCGAGCAAGGCAAGTGCCAAAGTATGTTACGGGTTCTGAGTGTGATTGGAATTCAGAGGAGGATAAAAGATGGAGGAATATGGAGGATAAAAGATGGTGGAACCCCAATATGGGTTTAGGAGGGTTTGTCCTATGGAGTGGTGAGAAATACAGTTGGATAGGTAGCATGGAACCAAGCTATTGAGAACCTTGAAAGGCCAGGTTGGCTTCTTGTCTACTACCAATGCTGCCACTCCCAGTTTGATGAACTGGGTTAATCTCACAGTTTCTCTTCTTACCCTTTCTTTATTGGTGACCTTTCTGATATTTGGATTGTACTTCCTGGGTATAAAAGTAATTTTGTACCCAAGAAAGGATTATCAGGGGTGGGGATTTAATAAAAGGATTTGTTCTGTAAAACTTGGACTCAGTCAAAACGCTGCACCCGAGGACCTCGAAGGCCACGTGCGGCCTTGAAGCCACAGGATCCCCACCCTGGACTAGATAAAGCAGTAGAGACAAACAGGAATTTGAAGTTATTTGATTCAGCAAATGCCTGTTAAGCACATACTCTGTACAAGGCTTGTGCTAAGCAGTGGAGATATAAAGATAAGACATGAACTTCTGCTCTTAAGAAGGGTCATAGGAGGTTAAGAGCTGAGAGGAATGTTTTTGGTTCCTCATCCTCTTTCTGATGCTTCAGTGTGAGTGTTCCCCAAGATCTGTCCTTGGCCCATTTCTCCTTCTGTTCTTCCTCCTTGCTTCTGCCTGCCCACCATCTCTCAGGTCTCAGTGCCAGGGATGCCAAAGTCTCCATGCCTAGACTTGATTTTCTTTCCAGGTTCCAAGTTCCAGACCTACCTACACATTCAGATATCTTTAGGTCCTCTCCACCTCGATGTCCAGTCCGCACCTGATTCAACATGTCAAAACCTGAGCTTTTATTCTTTTCTCCCTTAACCTGCTCCTCCCTCTTAACAATTTTTTATTCCAGTTAATTGTACCAGCATTTTCCCACTTTCCCATTTGAAACCTTGTTGTTACCTTTGCCTCTTCCCTTTCCCTCACCTTTTATGTCTAGTTGGTTACTGAATCCCCTCAATCCTGCCTCCATATGATCAGAGATTTAGAGCTGGAAGGGCCCGGGAGTCCAATCCCTCATCATTTTACAGATGGAGAAATTGAGGCCTATATTGGAGGAATGACTTGCCCAACGTCACACAGGTAATAAGTGTCATTGCCAAGATTTGAACCAGGGCCTTCTAATTCCAAATCCAGTTCTCTGCCCACTATATTATGCTGTCTAACATCTCTTACATCCATCCCCTCCCACTGCTACTGCTTTCATACAAACTCTCATTACCACCCACTTGGACTATTGCAATAGGGTTTTCTGCCTCCATTCTCATCCTTCCCTTCATACTGGTTAATCTTTATTGTCACTCTCCTGCTCAAAAACCCTGAATGGTTCCCTTTTGCCCCATGTCGGCCTGTCCCTCAAGGACTTTCATGATCCAGATTCATCTCGTCTCATTCTGCTGCACATGTTCTCTGCTTCAGGCATAATTCTGTCTCCCAGGAGTCATTACAGTATCCCACAGTTTTTTTCGCCTGGCATGCCCACCCTCCCATGGTGATTAAATTCCAACCTGTCCTTGACAGTTCAGCTCCAGGGCCATGTGCTCCCTGAAGCTTTCTCTGGGCCTTTCTTTATCTTTCTACCCCTGCTGTGCCTGCCATGTCACACTGCAAAAGATGCTTGTCTCTGCTGGTGTCTTAGCTCTACCCCATCCTTACTAGTCATGAAAGCTCCTTTAGGACAGGAACAATGTCTTATCTGAACATTGGGACAAGGTTCTGTATGTAGTAGATGGTTAGACTAGATCGTTGGATCATTTAGTTCAGCCTCCCAGTTTTACAGTTGGGGAAACCAAGGCCGACAAAGGGAAAACAACTCCCCCAGGACCACCTATTAGTGGCAGAGCCAGAGCTAGAATTGACAGTTCAATCCTTGCTTTCTAAGTTGGCCTCCAAGGCCCCTTCAGGCTCTGAATCTATAATCCTACAATTCCTAGAGTTGAACATGTGGTCTCAGCTGTTTAACATTTTTTTAAAATGAATTCTGAAGATTTAAATGAAATTTCTGAACTAATTCGGAAATTGGACATGACACAGGGTTTTACAATTATATCAAATTGTTAAATATACAGTCATTATGTTGCAGACCATTAAGTGAGTCATCTTCAAGCCAAATCACTGGCTACATTGTGTGACTTTTGACCAGTTAGTGTTTTTTGTAGCTAAAAGGAGCTTTTGTAGAGTCCAAGCAAAGCCCTTTGTTTTAAGTTAAATGTGGAATGTTAAAACTGTCATCTTGGGACTTTACATAAGATTAAAAGTTGGAGAGTCAGCTGGAAGCTCATTCTATTATTTTCAGGATAACCCAAGAGTAAATAGAGACAGACACCAGTCCCCTCTCCCTTCTCGATTTTTGCTTTCTGAAAGTGAGATTAGAAAGATGACAAGTAACTGGAATGAAGCCAGCCTTTTTCTTTAGCAGTGTGAATTCTTAGGACATACATTGCTGTTGGGCCACAACTTTCAAGCATAGATACGAAAAGAAGGTCATTTTAGACCAGGCCTAACAGGAATAAGGCAGAAGACATTTAAGACTTTTAGTAACTCTTGGACTAACCTGTGGTCTCACTACTGGGCTGCCTTCTATAAAAACATGTTCCTAGCCCTGAAGCTGCAGCATCACTGTGGTGCCGATAATGTCAAGAAGCAGGTCTTTTTGGAAGCAGGTCTTTTCAAAAACGGTTGAGTTTATTTTTAGGATGCATTGATTTTAGGTGTAACCAGGATCCTTCATGAAGGTAGGAAGGATTGAAAATTGGTGCATACCTTTAACCTCGATCATTTTTTTTTCTGAAGAAAAGAATCTTCAAACTCTATTTCATGTCTGAAGTCTATTTTAAATTGAACTATAGATTTTTTTTGTTGTTTGGCTGGCTGGAATTCAATATTTACCTACTTATGCACCTCTGACAGAGCAGGTGAGCCCCATGTCTAGACTTTAGACCTTCATAATATAATTTTCTTGACAAGAGAGAAATATCGTGTACAAAAGCACAATATAAAGCAAGGCTCTTTTTCTTAGCAAAAAGGAATTGCAATTAAGGCAGAGTCCTAGCAAGCTCTAGTGGAACATTTTTGATGCTAAGGGGTGGTGGGAAGAGGAATAGGTAATGAGAAGTTTGTCTTTTTATCAAGAAAATGTTTTGTTGTGAAGGTAAATACTTTTGGAGCACAGTAGATGGTATGTTTACCCAAAGTCAGCATGTTAAGTGTAGTGTGGAAAAGGTTAGTATGCAGAGGGTGATGGCCAGGTGTTCTCCATCTTCACCAGAACTGACCACAAAAATATGGCATTAAGCTGCAGCATGAGGGATTTACCGAGGGACAGTGGTAAATCCCCAGAGGCTGTGAGGTTATTGCCCAGGCTCTTTAAATCCCTGCACACAGCAAGCATGGTCACCATCCTGATCTTTATCTAGGGCCAGAAAAATATGCAGTTTGAATGATGAGTGAAAGAGGATTTTCTGCATTTATTTTATTGAAGTTTAAGTGAAAAATGAAAGGAAGCCAGGCTAAATGTGAAACCAGAGCTAAGGTTGAAACTGATTGCTTCAAACAGACTTCCAGGCTCTGAAAGATGCTGAGCACCGCTGGACATCTCAAATGAATACTTACAATACGCAATCAATCATTCCTTCTGAAAAGTGAAAAGGTTTCATATGGGCTATTTCTCAGATGCATTTGAAGGCTGTTGTGATGAAAATAAATTCTTTTAAAGTTTTTCTGAATTCATCACAGCAGCCTTTTGTCAGGGATTTTTCTCAGTCAACAGATACTTACAGAATAACTGCTCTTTGGTAAAGAAGTCTGTCGGTGAAATTGGTTCATGTGAGAAAGGAGGCCCTCAGGCTTAAAAGGGTCAGGAACCACGGCCTCTAAGGCTTCTTGACAGAGAAAGCTATTGAACATTGAAGTGGTAATGGTACATCAAGGGAATTCAATTTATCAAGGATGTGTGAGGGCCTGTCTTCACTGTTGGGGACCCAGAGACAAAAATGGCAGCTTCTGTCCTCAAAGAATTTACCTTGATTGGGAGCACTGTAATCTGTACACACATAAGTAAAATACATGGTAATTTATGAAGGGAAAGAGCCATGACCGACTGGAAGGATCAGGGATATGGCAACTTATTCTTGTACTGTACCTTGAAAGAAGAAAAGGATTCTGAGGAGGGAATGCAGCATGGGAAGGAAGGCGTAGACCAGCTGCAGGGGTTCCCGTGGTGGAGTCACAAGAAAACCTGTCTGTCCTTGGAGTCAACAAGTTGTGTTCATGGTCCTGTTCTTAAGAACTCCCCAGCTGCATCCCAAAGAGATCATAAAATGGGAAAAGGACCCACATGTACAAAAATATTTATAGCAGCTCTTTTTGTGGTGGCAAAGAATTGGAAATTGAGGGGATGTCCATCAATTGGGGAATGGCTGAACAAGTTGTGGTGTATGAATGTAATGCTATAAGAAATGATGAGCAGGCGGACTTCAGAAAAACCTGGGAAGACTTGTATGGACTGATGCTGAGTGAAGTGAGCAGAACTGGAATGTTATACACTGTAACAGCCATGTTGTGCAATGACTAACGTTGATAGACTTAGCCCTTCTCAGCAATGCAAGGATCTAAGACGTTTTCAAAGGTCATATGATAGAAAATGCTATCCACATCCAAAGAAAGAACTATGGAGTTTGAATGCAGATTGAAGCATACTATTTGCTGCTTTTTTTTCTTCTGTTTTGTTTCGTTTCCTCTTTCTGGTGGTTCCTCCTATTGGTTCTAATTCTTCCTTACAACATCACTAATGTGAAAATATGTTTAATAGGAATGTAAATGTGTAGCCTATATCATATTGCACGCCATCTTGAGGAGGGAGGGGGAAAGGAGGGGGAGAAAAATTTAAAACTTTAAATTTAAAAATTTAAAACTCAAAAGCTTATGGAAGTGATTGTTGATAAATCAAAATAAATTAATAAAAAAATAAAAAATAAAAAGAACTCCCCAGCCATGTGAGACCTCGTGGACATTCCAGTGTGGCCGATTTTTCACTCTCTCACCTAGTAAAGGAGGACCACAATCCTGGCACTACCAACTTCAGGTAGTAGCTCTGAGTCTGGAAATCTGAACTTGGGTCTTATAAATATCAGTAGTTGGAAAGAGAAAGTGCAAGCAGATCCATAATTTACTAAGACTCCAAGGAAAGAATGTGCATGTTGGAAGGCCCTGTCAAAGGGTCAGCTCTCCATATGGCCTGCCCTGTCCATGGGCCTCACAGAAGATTATTCTTTTACCTGCTTCCAAATCAGGGTCTCTCTAGGTTTATATTCCACTTTGCTTCCTGACCCCAAAGAAACTTGGAAGCTACCAGAGATTCTAGGGACTATTAGGCAAATGATGCCTTTTAAAATTGTTTTTACTCAAATTGACTTAGTGAAATAAATTAGATTATGTTAATCCTTTCTCAAGCGGGGGTAGCTGCAGAAGAATGCAGAAGCAAGCTGGAGCCAGAGCAAGTTTTTGGTTATTTGGATATGTCTGTGCCTCCCAGGACTTGGGATTTTAAATTAAGATTCTCCTCTCACACCTCTTAGAGGACATCTAAATATAAAACATCATAGACTCCTCTTAGTAAAGATTCAGACAGTATTCTCCATGCTGTCAAGAGAGTTGTTTATCCTAAAGAATTAAATCCTAAGAATCGCAATACTTTCAATCTTTAATCCAACTAAAGGGTTTAGAACAGAATGTTCCCAGAAACTCATCCCATCTCATGTTAATATACGTACCTGGTACCTTACCCATTGGGACAGCAAGGTGGTACAATGGATCGAGCACCAGGCCTGCAGTCAGGAAGACAGATCTTCCTGGTTTCAAATCCAGCCTCAGACACTTATTAGCTGTGTGTGACCCTGGACAAGTCACTTAACCTTGTCTGCCTCAGTTTCCTCTTATGCAAAAATGAACTGGAGAAAAAATGGCAAATCACTCCAGTATCTTTGCCAAAACCAATCCAAATGGAGTCACCAAGAGTTGCACATGACTGAAAAAAAGAATGAACAGCAACAACCTTACCTAATGTAATAGTGGGTCCTTTCTTCTAGGGTTAGTGAGCTTTCATTTGAGTATAAAATGACCTACCATTTGATATATAATTAAAATGTGCAAAGAAGAGCCAAATACTCAAGGAACTTTTTTCAGCTATCTAGGTAAGAAATGTCAAATGTCGTCATGAAACGTCTCTTACAAAGAAGGTCTTCCTTCTTAACACTTAACTTGGTAACTTGTATTGCATATAATTTTTTTTTATTTTCCCCCTTTATCAACTTTGATTCAGTCACTTAATTGCTACCAGTTGGTGTAGGAGGAGTGAGCAAGACAGTTATTCCTATGCCAGAATGTTTTAAGAGCCCCAGCCAGAAACTCCCAGAGCTGGAGTAGAGTGAAAAGGGACACTGCCATATTCAGGAAGCTAAACATGATGGGGATGGAAGCAACACGAAGAGGCTTCCCTTTTTTTATGTTAAATGAGAGCTGACCAAGGCAAGCAAGAGTTCAAATATGTAACATCATTGAAATCTCATTTAGTACAGTGTTCCAGTTTACCCTAATTGGGTTTCATGATGAAAATGATTGTAACTGTCTTGGGAGCTGTTCCAGAAGCCCTAAAATATAAGAGGAACTATTAGCCAGGCCTCCTGGGGTCCAGGGTGCATTTCCATCTATGCCAGCCTCTGACTTGGTATGAGTTGTGCCTTCCCTTAATTTGACCCTAGCATGCTAGGGCTGGCCTTCCGGTTTTTTGGTGGTATTTTTTGTTTCTTTCTTTTTTTTCTTTTCATCTTAGTTCCTCTTGGCTTCTCTTAAGTGTGTTTTGCTTGAATTGCCATGATGTGGCTTTCTGGAACACACATTACTGTTCTCCATCGTGTAGACTTGGCAACACAATACCAGTATTACATTTTCATTGGGTCAGCTCTTGTTAGAAACAATTGTGTGTGTGTGTGTGTGTGTGTGTGTGTGTGTGTGTGTCCAGGTATGCTGCTATTTGTGCTTCCCAGGCTTTTCTTAGGATGATACAATGGAGAAAAGAATTCCACCATTTACTTCTCCAAATTAGATTGCTATCCCTGTGTTTCTCTGATCCTTAGTCCCTATACCCAGACATTTGGGCAGAGGCCAGGCCTGGTATGTTTTGAAAGCTCTATGAGTTCATCATTATGAGTCTTCTGCAGACTGCAACCCTGCCTTCCATATCTTATCCTTTTCGTGAGTTACCATGGCCAAAGGAATTCATCAGATGGTGGCCAGTCTAGAGATTATCTAGAGATTCTGGAGATACTTGGTTTGGCAGATCCTCAAATGAGAGATACACATTCCACCTCTGGGCTTGTGGCCCAGTCTTTCTGGCTTGGTAAGGCCTGCCAGACCTTGTGTTCTGCTGGCCTACCTTTTGAGAAACTAGAGTCACTTGTTGGCCCATAATAAGGCATCACAGCAAAACTGCAGTAGAGGCTAGTGTGATTAATACAAACCAGGCAAGGGATGATCTGGTGGATGTTGGTTTTGAGAAATTCCACATGTAGGTCCACTCTCCTGAGCAAAAGAGACAAGTAGGGGAATTTGAAGTACTTTACTCCTGAGATCTGAAACGAGGGTTGTGTGGGGCTTCAAAGGATCAATAGATTGTTGATTAAGTAAATTGAGTGCTGTTGAAAGTCAGTCTAAGAAACTTCTTAAGAAGTAGTATCATTGAAATGAGGAGGACCTGAGTTCAAATCTGACCTCAAACACATAATGCTTACTAGCTGTGTAACTCTGGGCAAGTCACTTAACCCCAATTGCCTCAAAAAAAATAATAAAATAAAATAAAAAAAGAACAATCATTTCTGAAACCTGAATTTTTCAAAAGTCTTTTAATGTTTGTCAGTAAAAAAAAATTGATTAAGTGCCTGCTATATGCTACACAGTGCCTAACACTGTGCTAAGTTCTAGGGATACAAAGAAAGGCAAAATTTCAGAAAGCTCACCATCTAATGGGGAGAAAATATGTAACAACTTGGTACAAAAAGCTGTCTGCAGGATAAATTGGAGATCAACAGAGGAGCTCATAAAGTGCTTTCTGTAGGAGATGAGATTTTAGCTAGGATTTGAAGGGAGCCAAAAGGTAAAGGAGAGGAGAGAACATTCCATCAATGAGGGACAGCCAGTGAAGATACCCCAAGCTGGAGGCTAGAGTGTCTTGTTTGTGGAATAGCCAAGAGGCTGGGGCTGGACAGGAGAGCATGTGGCAGGGAGTAAGGTGGAAGAAGACTGACAAGGTGGGGGAAGGCGGGAAGGGCAGGTTAGGGAGGGCTTTGAACACCAAAACAGAGGATCTTCTGTTTGATACTGGGGGTAACAGGCAGCCACTCGAGTTTATTGAGGTGTGTGTGTGTGTGTGTGTGTGTGTGTGTGTGTGTGTGTGTGTGTG